TAATGTACAATTGCTCATTGATATGAAGTTCTCTCAGGCACATATGAGTGTCCATGAATTTGTTTCTCTAGTCTACCCAGACTAACACAGCCCCAGACAGATAATCTGTTGCGGGTGGGGATTGGCAGACAGGTGGGGGGTTACTTTCTGGGGATAGCGGAGGGATGGCTGCCTGAGCACAAGGACAGGGATGGAGGGAAGGCGGTGGGAAGGATATGCGATAGGACTCTAGGGAGGGGAGAGCTAGCAGAGACAGGGATAGGGAAGGATAAACTTCTGGTCAGCATGGAGGTCTCATGAGGCCCGCGGTCTTGCTCAATCCCCAAATCACTTCCCCAGAAGAGGTCAGTAACCGTGGTGATAAGTCTTGAATGCAGCTCTTATCGCAATCAACTGTGGCGCTCAGTCTCTTAGTCTCCGTGGCCCTCGTCAGGCTGTAAACCGCAGTGAGGACCGGAGCCGAGACTGCCCGCCTGCTTCATCGCTGTGTGTCAGCGCCTAGCTCCTCCCAGTCCGTGATGCTCAGTGTAGTGGAATACAGGGATGAAGTGCTGAATGAGAAGAATCCTAGGGGCATCGCGTGGTGTTTCACAATCCGCCAGGCTTCTGAGCCGCCCCCTGCCCCGCCCCTCTTCTCCACTGTCCCCTCCTTCCACCCCACCACCACCCCTCCCCCGCGAGACCACCAGCTCCATCCGGAGCGCTCCGCAGCGCGGACCGTGCGGCTTTAAGGGCGGAGAAGCCGAGCCGGGCGGTGATTGGTGGTTTATTCTAACGGAGGGGGATGAGCTCATCCGCAACCAATAGCTGGCGGGACAGCCGGCTGGACCCCGGCACCGGCTGCGGCTAGCAGCCTCAAGTGGCTGGCCACCCGGGGTGGCGGGGCGGCGGCAGGGGTAGGTACCGAGCTGGGGTAGGTGCGAGGTTTGCGGCGGCTTCCCTCTCCTGTCCCCGGGGGAGGCTCCCTGCCCCTCGCTTCCCGCGGGCTGGGCACCTGCGCGCCGGGGATCCCGGCTGGCCGCGCCTCTGGCTGGGTGCTGGCGAGGCCGGTGGCGTGGCCCCTGAAGCTGGAGCCCTGACCCGGGCAGCCTGGCCCCCTGGGCTGGGTGGAGCAGGCACGGTGAGAAGCCCCTCCCCCACGCCCCACGTCCCGCCCGGGCGCAGCTCTGCAGGGCCTTGGCACTGCGAGTCCTCCTCTGGACTAAGGTTGGCAGTTCGGGGCCTGCCGCTTCGCAGCGGCGATGAGTGAGCTAAAGGGTTACCTGCTGGCCTCCAGGGTCCTGGCCTGCCTGCAGCCTCCGCTCTTACTTTCAGAAGCTGCGTGTGGGGACCCAGAGGCCAGGTGACCTCCTGGAGAGCCCCTTCCGCAGAGTCTAGCTCGGCTCTCTGGGGGAGCTGCACTCAGCCATCCTCGGAGCCAACAGGATTTAAGACCCAGTTCTGTGCCCAAGGCTCCGCCAGCCCCATGGGGTTGGGGGTGAAGGGTGGGAGGGTAGGTATCTCACTCTCCGACCACAGACCTCTGATCTCAGGACTGAGCGAGCCTGCAGTAAAGCGGGCGATGTTCCTGAGATAGTCCCTGGGGAACATGAGGAGGAACGGAGAAGGGAGGCCTGGAGGGTGGAGCGGAGCTCAGGAGGCCACAGAGAATTGCTGTGCACTCTGTACTATGCTAGCAAGGGCTGCTGACCACGAGGCCAGCAGTTTGAAACCACCAGCCACTCCGTGGAGGAAAGAGGAGGCTTCTTTCTCCCATAAGGATCTGTAGCTTCCAAAACCCAAGGGGGCAGCTCTGTCTAGCCCGCACTAGAGGGTCGCTGTGAGTGGGAATTGAGTCCATTGCTGTGGAGTTTGCGTTTGAGTTCGAGGCAGGCAATGTCCCCAGCGCTCCAGTGCTCGACGTGCAGTGGGTGCTCAAGAAACACTGAAGGTGTATCGAAAGGAGTGTTTGTAGCCCGGGAGGAAGTACCTTCCCATTAGCCCTAAGTCCTGCAGCTGGTGGTACTCGTCTCCCGGCCTGCAGTGGAAGGAAATGAGGGTGCGGATAGGCTAGGGTGTTACTCTTATCTAGTTCCCCCCCTCAAAAACTTGCCTGCCCCATTCCAGGTCTCAGCCTCAGGCAGCAATGAGCCTGGTGACCTGTGAATGCCCGCCTGGCCCAGGCCTGGAGCCTGAACCCTGCTCCCGAGCCCGGTCCCAGGCCCAAATGTACCTGGAGCAGATTCGAAACCGGGTGGCCCTGGGGGCACCCGACACGACCAAGCGCGACTACCTGGTGGACGCGGCCACACAAATCCGGCTGGCCCTGGAGCGCGACGTCAGCGAGGACTACGAGGCGGCCTTCAACCACTACCAGAACGGCGTGGACGTGCTGCTCCGCGGAATGCATGGTGCGCGTGCGTGTGTGTGTGCGCGCGTGCGCGCGCGGGTGGGAGCTGGCTCCATAGGGCGGCCACGCTGCGCGCTCCAGTGCCAGGGTGCCTGCGGGACCTGCAGGAGGACCAAGAGGAGCAGCCAGCACTGATTAAGCAATTCCTGTATGCCAGGCCAGTCTCGGAGTGGTGCAGTGTGTGCATTAGACTGCTAACTTAGAGGGTGGTGGTTTGAACGCACCCAGCTGCACCGAGGGGAAAAGGCCTGGCCACCTGCTTGCACTAAGATTACAGCAAAGTCCACCCTGTGAGCGGCTTCACTCTGTAGCGCACAGGTCGGTCGTCCTGAGTCAGAACCTCCAGCATATGTCAGGCGCCATGCTGAGGGCTCTACTTAGTGGTTCTCAATCTTCCTAATGCCGCGACCCTTTCATACAGTTCTTCAGGTTGTGGTGTACTAGCCCGAAACCATAAAATTTATTTTCGTTGCTCCTTCATCACTGTAATTTTGCTACTGTTATGAATCGGGCAACCCCTGTGAGTCATTCGGACCCAAAGGGGTCACGACCCACAGGTTGAGAACCACAGACTTAGATGCACTCATTTGCGAAGAGCCCTGGTGGCGGAAGGATGGCATTGCACTGCTCACCACAAAGTCCCCAGTTTGGAACCACTAGCTAGCAACTGCTCGGAAGAAAGATGAGATTTTCTACTCTCATGAACAGTTAGGGTCTTGGAAACCCACAGGGAATTTCTCCCCTGCCCTACAGGGTCTCTGTGAGTCAGTATCGACCTCATGGCAGTGAGTGAGTGACTCTTTTGAGCTTCAGAGTAATAGAAGCAACACTCTGAATTATCTATGCTATTGTTTGTATAGAGAAACTATTTGGGGCTCCTATTTCCAGATGGAGAAACTGAGGCCTAGGACCGGTAACTAACTTGCTCCAGACCCTGTAGCTGCAGCGTGGCAAAACTACGCTTTGACCAGGCTCCAGGGCCTGGGAGCTTGACCACTCTTAGTAACTTCCCAGAGAGGGGCAGAGTCCTGCCCTCAGGAAGCCTGTAATCCAGTGGGAGAGACGGTTGAGTCTGTGGTGAATAATTATGGCCCCTGTGGGAGGGGCGGAGATAGAAACAGGGAGCTGTGGGCAGACTGGGTGGGCACGGGGCCTTTTCAGAATTTGCTGAGCCCTGAACAAGGGTAGGTGTAGTGTCAGTGGGACCCCCAGGCCTGGTGTGCTCCAGCAAGAACAGCTGTCTTTGTGCTGGAAGGAGAGGGGCCATCTGAGAGCAGACTGAGGCTCTGAGGGGCTTGGTGGCAGGGTTGGGAGTAGGATTTGTGCAAGCCCCCAACTTACCCTTCCTACCCTCCGGGAAGGGTCCTGAGGGGACCTCCTGGAAGCCCAGACTTCCGACCTGCCCAGAGGAGTCCTGCACACCCCCAGCTCCACCTTTCTCCCACTGGCCATAGGACGGGAGAAGCCACCCTCTCTGGGAGCGTCTGGATGGCAGGGAAACCATGGGGACCCCCAACCAGTCCCTTCCCAGGGTGTGATGACAGCTGCTGACTGAGGATGCCCTGGCCACGACCTCCTCCTCCTTCCTCCCTGCCATCGTCCTTCCTCCTCCTCACCTGCTCATCTCCCCCCTCCTGGGAGGGCCCAGGCACAGATCTGGGGTCAGGGCTGTGTGTGTGGAGAACAGGCAGTCCATGCTGGCCCCCATCCCCGTACAGTCGACCCCAACAAGGAGCGATGCGAGGCCGTGAAGCTGAAAATCACCAAGTACCTGAGGCGGGCAGAGGACATCTTCAACTGCCACCTGCAGAGGACACTGGGCAGCGGAGCCAGCCAGGGCACGGTGAGCCAGCCTCCTAGGGCCTGGTGACTGGTGACGGCTCCAAGGCAGGGGCAGCTTGTGAGCTGGGGGTGGGGGACGTGGGCCCACAGCTCCCTCCACCCTCCCCACTCCCTCAGTGCTCATTCAGTTATGGAGTGCAGGCCATCACTGCCCAGCCTCTGTGCTCACAGGGCGCTGACCACCGCCCACCACTTGCTAGTCCCACTTGCTAGTCCACATGCCCTCGGCTGCACACAAAGGCATTGGTGGCTCTGTCCTGGTTGTGAATAGGCGCGCAGTATTAGGGACCCACAGGAGTGCACACGTGCGCACGCACATGGAGTACGAGTGTGTGCACACACAGCTCTCTCCTTGCGTGGCTTTTCCGAACCCAAGGGGTGTTTCTCCCAGTGAGGGCGTAGGCACAAGAGTTCCGCCCCGCCCCTGGAGCTTTGTGTCTGGGAAAGCGGGTTTTCCCCAGAGCAGCGGTCTGCCAGGGCTGTGTGCCGTGGTCTTGTTCCCCCCTTATTTCCTCATCCTCCCATCAGCCTCCTCCTGTGGATGAGGATTTTGACAGGGGGTTCTGAACCCCCAAGCACTCCCTGGGACTGAGCGGGGTTAAGGGGGAAAGGCCTGGCCACCCTAGGCTGGAGTGGGTTCCCTGGCTTCTCCATTCCACCAGGGTCTGCCCTGTGAGGTGAGGTCTTCCTATACCGGAGTCCTACCCCCGTGGCCCCCATGCTCACCTGGCAGCCAGAAGGCCCTGTCCGCTGTTGGCAGGGCAGCTGCCCAGGAGGGCTGGCTCGAGCTGCAGGGGGGCCTGTCTCTCTCTCCACAGGGTTTCAGCAGCCTGCGCCTCCGGCCCATCCGCACGCTGAGCTCGGCCCTGGAGCAGCTGCGGGGCTTCAGGGTGGTCGGGGTCATCGAGAAGGTGAGGGGACGCCCATGACATGTGCAGTGAGGGTGCCTGCTCTGTGGTCGCCACCCCTAGGCCAGCAAAGGGGATGGAAAGGGCTCTGAGGGCCAAAGGGGAGGCAAGCAGCTGTGTCCCCACACCCGTGCACTGCCCCCCACCGCCCCCTCCCCATCAGGTCTTGGAAGGGAAACCGTGGGAAACCAGGAGCAAGAAGCGGCAGACGGCAGCCGCTCCCGCTCGGACACACGGAACACCCACTCCCTTGGAGACAAAACAGAAACCACAGGCGAAGCTGTGTCCAGGGCACCCAGCCAGCGCTCACTGCCGGCTCCCCACTTCCCACAGGCCCCGCCCCACACTCACCCTGTACCCAGCTTTGCAGCCAGGACTCTCCCTCAGCCGGCCTGCCGCACCAAGCACCATGGGGCACCTCCTGAGTTTGGCTCCTTGTCACCGCTGTGCTGACCCTGGGGCATTGTCCAGGCTGCCCTGGAAGTTGCCCTTGGTTTCGGCTGCTCTCCCCCTCAGCTCCTCCTCGACTGGGGTCTTTGCCTTTTCCTAGCTGGGTCAGTGATTCCTAACTAGGGACACGTTGATCCCGGAGGGAGAATAAAGAAGGAGAGCGAAGTGAGCCAGGATTCCTGTGCCCAGTGCCCAGCTCAACTCGGCTTGGTGGGTTACATGTCCTAGGCTGCTAACTACAGGGTCAGCAGTTCAAACCCACCAGCCACTCTTAGGAGGAAACAAATGTAAGGCGTTCTGTTCCTGTAAAGATGTTCTGCCTCCAAAGCCCACCCAGGTGCCAGGAGTCAGAAGTGACTTGATGGCAGGGAGTAGATTGGGTGGTCCCTAAAGCAGCCACACCCCCTCCCCCACCCCCCACCGGCTGCTCACTGATATCACCTGGGGAGCATCCTAAACTACAGATGCCTCAGCCCTGCCCCAGACCCTTGGAGCCAGAACTTCCAGGACTGTGCCCAAGAGTCTGGCATTTAGACAGTAATTCTGTGGTCGCTGGAAGACAGCCTGCACCTGGTGGTAGTGGTGGTGGTGTGGTGGGGAGCAGTGTGCTGCTGGGGGTGGGGGTGCCTAGGATGCAGGCAAGCCCCTTCAGCTTGGACTCACACATCTGTCAAGGGAGCTAAGGCTCCTCCCGCGGAGTGAGGAATCTGGGAACTGAAATGAACGTGTCGGGGAAACGCCTGGCCCTCTGCGGCCAGCTGATGAATGTTCGCAGGCTCCTCACACTGGTGCCCGGAGGGCCGCCCATCCTGTCCTCCAGGCCTGGGTCCAGCTGCGGCTCCCTGGCCCCTGGAGCAGGCCCCAGGCTGCAGCCAGAAGAGACAGGCCTAACTTCAGTCTGCAGAGCAGCTAGGGATAGGCAGGTGAGGTGGCCAGGCCAGCACCTCCTAGAGTGGGGTCTTCTGAGTCAAAGGTTTCCCGGACCGAGGGGTTCTGGGTCCGGTCATTTGGGAAACAGTGAGTTAACATCATGTGATTGGTTTTCTCCAGCCTAGAAGTTCTTGGCGCTTTTAGGAGGCAGATATACATTGTGAGCCTCCAAGAGGGACTTACAGGAAGGACTTCCCCAAATGTGTTTGTTTAAGCCCAGGATGCCTGTGAGCTGAGCACTCAGGAAGCCAGGATCCAGAACTCCGTGCTTATAGAACTCAAAAACCTATTATCATTGGGTCAATTCTGACTTATAGTGATCCGATAGGGCAGGGTATAACTTCCCCTATTGGTTTCCCAGGCTGTAACTTTTTACAAGATTAGGAAGTCTCCTCTTTCCTCTGCAGAGTGGCTGGTCGCTTTGAACTACAAACCTTGCAGCTAGCAGCCCAACAGGAAACCAGGGCTCCTTCGCTTATGGAAAGCACAGGTCGAGGCCCAGCCCAGCCATGCTGCCTGGAGATGGCCTTTCCCTCCTCCTGCACCCTTCCTGGGGCATTTGGTTAATCTAGTCCACCCACCTCCTCCCTCCTGCGTCCCTCCTGAGGCAGGAACGCCTCTCTCCCCACTTAGGAAAGGTGCTCGGACCGCTGGGCCCAGGTCCCTGAGCCAGGCCTGGACACTTGCCGTCGCCCCTGTCCCCACCCCACAGCTCTGGCCAGGCAGACTCCAGCAGGCAGGGTGGTGGTGAGACCAGCAGCTCCAGTGGGTTGCTCAGAAGAATCTGAGAATTACCCCCAAATGTGCCCATTTTGGAGGGCTCACTGGGCTGAGGAGGGGGTCTCTACTCTTTCCCGTAGGGTGGCTGTGCGTCAGAATAGCCCTGACGGCCATGTCTGTGTTTTGAGACGACCTAATGTTGGGGGTTGGTATGTGGTCCGGTGGCAATCAGGTGCCTGCCTGACTGTGAACAGAAAGGTTGGGGTTCTCAACCCACTCAGATGAGTCTCAGTCTCCCAGCAGTTCCGTGGGACAAAGGCCCAGGGATCTGCCCATGAAACGTTAAAACAACAAGCAGGCCCATTGCCGTCAGATCAGTTACAGCTCATAGCAACCCTGCGTTCAGCAGAATGACACAGAACCCGGTCCGGCTCCGGGCATCCTCACTACTGCTCTTGTGTTGGGCCATTGTTGCGGCCACTGCGCCCATCCATCTCGTTGTTTTCCCTGCCCCTCCATTTTGCCAAACATGAAGGCCTTCTCCAGGGACTGGTCTCTCCCGACAAGGTGCCCAAAGGACAGGATGAAGCTTCGCTATTTTTGCCTCTAAGGAGCCTTCTGGTTGCCCTTTTTCCAAGACAGATTGGTTTGTCCTTTTAGTCTAATTTGGTGACTTCCCGGCATTACTGTGAGTGGGGGCTGGAAGAAGGCGTGGTTAATGTGCTTGCCTAACTCTGTCAGGATAGACAGGGAGGTTTTCGTAATTAAAGGGGAAATCAAACAACACACAGTGGATAGCGACCCGCGGATCGAGTTTTGTTATCTGGCTTCCCCAGCCCTCACTGCTGGTGTCTGTTTTTCAGACTCAGAACATTAGAGGGCCGGGCTGAGGACAGGGTGGTGGGAACTCCCACTTGGCAGGAGGAGGCAGTGGGGGGTTGTCCCACCATCAGCAAAGTGGGAAGCTGTTGTGAATATCTTCTAGCCTTGAGAGGAGAGCCCCCTAGTGACCTGAAGGGATGCTGCGCTCCTGCTGAATGAAGGGGTGGGGGGTGGGGGGCACACACACACTGATGAGATGGAATCTCAGAGGGGGTTGTGCTTGCCAAGGTTACTTAGCTTCAACCTCCAACTACATACAGTTCAGGCTCCTGGAATCAGCCTGCCTGGGTTCCAGTCCTGCCTCCACTACTTTGTAGTGGTGAGACCACAGGCCCCAACGCCTCCAAATCTCAATGTCTTTCTCATTAGGAGAGGAGCTGATTATACACTGCGTTTGCAGCGGTTCTCAACCTGTGGGTCACGACCCCTTGGGGGTCAAATGGCCCTTTCACAGGTGTCGCCTGATTCGTCACAGTAGCAAAATGACCATGATGAAGTAGCAGCGAACATAATGTTATGGTTGGGGGTCACCACCACATGAGGAACTGTCTGAAAGGGTCGCAGCCTGAGGAAGGTGGAGCACCACTGGTATAAGGGTAGGGAGTGGGGCCGGCAGGGCACTCGAGCTGGAGAGCAGCCAAGCCCGCATGTTTCTGGCAGGGGACCCCCCTCTCCCCACTTCCCTCAGGCCCTCAGCAGCCTCACTCAGAGAACGAGAGCTCCAATAAAGTGACTGAGGTCCCTTCTAGCAGAGACCCTCAGAGCCTGCCTGGTGGAGTCAGGGCCTAGGCTGGGGGCCTGGGCTGGGGCCCCTTCCCTCATCTGGGTAGCTGAGGCTCCATACTGGTGAGAAGCTCTGAGCTGGGCAGTGTGGCCCCTGGCCTGTCAGCGTGCACCGTGCAGCGGGGACACACGTGGTGCACTCTGCTGCTACCAGAAAGGTTGGCTCCGAAGCTCCAGGGGAGAAAAGGCCTGGAACTCTGCTCCCATGAAGCCCATGACCTAGGAAGGCCGGCGGGCCCGTTCTACTGGTCCTGTGGTGCTGCTGTGGTTGGCAACACACAGAAGCCTGCACTTCGAAGCCTGAGGCCCAGGCGCCGTTCCTTGGATGTCGGGCACCTTGGGTCCAGCCACTCCCTGCCCATCGGGGGAGGCTTGCATGCTGCCGTGATGTGGAACAGGGCTCGGCAGACTCGGAAGAAAGGCCTGGTGATCGTCTTTCCAAAACCAGCCAATGAAAACCCTGCGGTGCACAGTGTTCTGACCCCATTGTGCAAGGGCTCTCTGTGAGTCAGGGCTGCCGCCAACAACCACCGCAACAGAGGGCAAGCCAGGGGGCGCTGGGAGAGAGCTTGGGCAACCCCAGTGGGGCCTGAGGACTGGGAAGGCTTCCTGGAGGAGACAGCACGGGAGCTAAGACCTCCTGGCAGGATGGACTTTGTGGCTGCTTGGGGACAGGAGGCATGCTAGCTGTGCCACCCAAGCCTGCCCTCCCTGCTCAGTCCCTTGGAGGAAGCTGGGGGCTGGAGCTTCAGGGCCCCGGGAACTAGCAAGTCCTTTGACTGGTGCCCCCTGGACCTTGGCAGGTGCAGTTGGTCCAGGACCCAGCGACCGGAGGGACCTTTGTGGTGAAGGCATGTGCCCTCAGCCCCCTGCCATCAACGTCCGCTTAGCGGCTTTCTCCGAGCTCCTGGAAGCGCCCTCCCTCTGGAGAACTTGCATCTGAGGCCCAGCAGCTATGTGCCCCACCCCTCAGCATGCCCACTGCCCCCAGAGACTCTCCTGTGATGTGGCCCAGAGGGTGGCAGGGCCAGGGGAGGGTGTGAGAATGGTGGGTAGGGGGAAGGTCCAGAACTGGGGAAGCCTTTGCTCCTCATTTGGGGGTCCCTGAAGCCAAGGCTAGGGTGTCCCCTAACAGCAACTTCCACCCCTGACCTGTACCCAGCTGAGCCGCCTGCCTCGCCCCCTCCCAGAGCCTGCCCAGGTGCCATGTGGCGAGTCGGGAGCGGCTGACTATCATCCCGCATGGCGTCCCCTACATGACCAAGCTGCTGCGTTACTTCGTGAGCGAGGACTCCATATTCCTGCACCTGGAGCACGTGCAAGGTGAGGGGCCGGGGGCTCCAGATTTAGGAGCACTGTCCTCACTTGCAAATGATCAGCCCTGGAGGCTGACTGAAGGGTCCGTGTGGGGACATCCTGGGTGGTGGCGGGGAGGGGCACCCTACCCTTGGTGGGCATGGGGCACTGTCACCGTTTTTTGTCACCATTCCCTCCACGGGGGCCCTCCACGCTTTGTGTGTATCTTCATGTGGGGACACGGGCCGGGTGCGGGGTGAAGGGGCTCTGTTGACAGACTCTGGACTGTATAGCCCTGCTACTGAGCATCCAGTCATGCGCTGACTTTGAGTCCATGCTGACTCGATCCTACAGGGCAGGGTAGAACGGCTCCCTGCGAGTTCCCGAGACTGTAGCCCCATCTTTCTCCTGAGGAACAGCTGGTGGTTTTGAACTGCTGACCTTGTGGATCGCAACCCAACTCGTAACCGTTAGGTCACCAGGGCTCCTGCGCGTCTATCACGGAGCTGTGACTCCTGGGTGGCGCCAACGGGTCACGTGCTTAGTGGCTCACTGAAGGATTTGAGTCCACCCAGAGGCATCGCCAAAAAAGGCATGGCGACCTCGTTCTGAGACATCAGCCTCTTGGCACCCAGTGGAGCCCAGCTCTGCTCTGGCTCCCACGGGATGTGGGGAGTCAGGGGCCATGGATACCTGGCTCCGGGGTTTGGGTGTAGTATGGTGATGCGCATCTAGCTGATAATACTCAGTGGGTTACTTGAAGGAAGGAATACAAGGACCCCAGGGTGGAGAGGGCCGGGGGCTGGGCCATGGAGGAGTCTGCGTCACTGCATTCCGCCCATGTCTCCTCTGTCCCTGGCATCCAGGAGGTCTTAGGAAGTGTTTTGAGGCTGGGTTCCTGGGACTGGGAGGAGTGGGACGAAGCGCTTAGGTGCCATCTCGGGATGGGCTTAACCCCAACCCACCACCAACCAGGAGGAGAGGCCGAGTGAGGGGCAGGCAGAGGGACCCGGTCCACTCCCCTCTTCTTCCTGTTCCAGGCGGCACGCTCTGGTCCCACCTGCTCTCCCAGGCGCGCCCTCCACAGCCTGCACCAAGGCCTGGCTCCGCTCAGCAGAGGAAGGAGGCTCAGCTCTACCCCCACCTCAGCCTGCAGGGCCCAGGGCTGCACCCCCCAGGCCACCCCCGCCAGCAGGACAGACTGCCCCTGGGCCCAACGAGGATATCACAGAGCCTCCCCGTGGCCAGGGAAGCCCCTTCCACCAGACCCCTGAGGGGGCCTGAAGGCGAACCCACCGCCAGGACCTGCCCTGCCCGTTCCCCTGACCTGCCCATGGCCTCCAGCGGCCACCCATTCCTCCAAGCCAGGCGGGACCCCGGCTGGAGCTCGGACACCAGACCCCCTCGGGGGCTCTCTTGGGTGCGAGAGGGAGCCGGCCGGGTGCTGGGGGGCTGCGGCCGAGGCAGAGTTCCCAGCCGCCCCTCGGTGGATGGGGCCAGTTTGGGGTCTGGCGGGGGTGCCTGGAGAGTGAGGGAGGAGCAGGTGAAGCAGTGGGCGGCCGAGCTGCTGCTGGCCCTGGAGGCCCTGCACGAGCAGGGGGTGCTGTGCCGGGACCTCAACCCCCGGAATCTGCTCCTGGACCAGGCAGGTAGGTGTCTTTTCCTACCCCACCCCTCGACCAGGACACCTGCATGCCCATCTCTGTGCAGACACTTGACGCAGGACTCCAGGCCAGAGGCTGGTTGGCCAAGGTTGAGCTTGTTGAGTGAGCCCTTTGTCCCTGGGTCTAGATACCCGCCCCGCATCTCCTGGTGGGGGTAGGGCGTGCCCATAGAGGGGTGACTGAGTTGGGGGGGCGCGGGGAGGGGGAGCCAACAGAGCTGCTTCCCTATGCCAGCGCCACAGTTATCACTAAGCTCAAGTCTTGCCTCACTCCCCACCCCCTACCCTGGACGCGAAGGTCACGTCCGGCTCACGTACTTTGGCCAGTGGTCAGAAGTGGAGCCCCAGTGCTGCCGAGAGGCCGCGGACGACCTGTACAGCGCCCCAGGCAAGATGGGCGGCCGGAGTGGCCCCCGGATCTCCGGTGGCTTTGTGTGGGTTGGGCCTGGAGGTTGACGATGAGAGGGAGTGCCTGGGTGTCTGGGCGGGGTATGTGGAATGGGCACCACCCCCACCACCCCCACACCGGGTTCCCTCCCCAGGGTGAGGCTGGGACTTCACTGGTGTCCTCTTGTTCCTGCAGAGGTGGGTGGGATTTCGGAGCTGACGGAAGCCTGTGACTGGTGGAGCTTTGGGTCCCTGCTGTACGAGCTGCTGACGGGAATGGTGAGCGGCTGGGCAGTGTGGAGAGCTGGGTGGGGGCTGCTGAGCCTGCCCCCACTGACACCCCACAGGAAGACACTCCACCCACATCCACTCCACAGATGTGCTCTGAAGCATGCCCTGCCGACTCCCCCCCTCCACCTCCCCCCCCCAATACACACCCTAGCTAATGAGTGAATGAGCTCAATTGGGATAGGCGGAGAGTTTCAGGGAGAGTCCCCCTGATACGGTCCCTTCCTTGGAGGGCAACTGGATGGACCAGCCCCCCCACCCCCCGCCAGCCTCCTCTCCCCACTGCCCCCCTTTGTCCTTTCGGGCTACAACCACAGACCTTGGCTGGACGGTGGGGGAGACGGATGCCTTCATGCAGGCCAGCAGCTGCCCTACCCCTGCCTGCGCCTGCCACGGTGTCCCCTGAGCCACCCTTTCTCGAGATGGTAGCCTCTGCCCTGTCCCTCTGACCGAGCTCAGCACAGTCCCCAGGAGTTGCAGCCAGGGAGAAGCCAGACTACATTTGAGCAGGAAATGGCTAGACTGAAGCAAGACGACCTGAAGCCCAGCTCTGCCCAGTCCATCCTGGCTCGGCACCTCTGTCCCCTGCCTGGCAGGACCTCAAGGGGCTCTGGGTACCTATGTCCCCACAGGGTGGGCAATTCTCCCTCTGAGGTCTCCTACTCTCCAGCCCAGGGCTCCAAGTGCCCTCATGGGAAGTCCCCACGGCTCAGCCTTCCCTCCGGACAGAGCTCTACTCCCACAGCCCTGCCCTGGCCTCCCTGGCAGTAGCAGGCCATGGACTGGACTGCTGTCCCGTGGAGACGGGTTCCCATGGTGCCCGTGGGGCTCCCAGCAAGCACAGAGCCAGAGGGTCCTGGCTTCAAAGCCTCAGCTCTGCACAGTCCCCTCCTCTCTCTAAGATGGCTTCTTGGACATGGATACCAATCTCCACCCCAGTAGCCTCGCCATCCTCCCCACCCCCCACCCCCATCCCAGGGAGGTGACTC